CACAGGCGGACACCAGAGACTCCCTGCTTTCCATTTTATTGTGAAGCAGCGTCAACGGACAAGTCACCAGGAGAAACAGTACGCAGGGGGGTGAAAGGGGGAGCTGCCCCCCCTCTCCTCCGGAATGCATCTTATCTAGCCCCCCCACGCTGCTGGTGGGGGGGCAGGACCGACATGAAGAGTGAGCAGAAAGATTCCCCCCCCCCCCAAAAGCACATTTTTCTCAATAGCTGAGAAGCAGCGACTGGGAAGGGGGAGTTCTAAAGAAGGTGGAGAGGGGGAAGGAAAGACAAGAGGGAAGGGGGGGGGGACGAAGTACAATCCAGGCTGGGCCAGACCCGCTGGGGGAAAGACCCGCCCGGCTGAGCCCTACACTGCAATTACGGACTTTCAAGTAGCTAAAAATTCAAGTTTAAACATACAGGCACTTTGAAGCCAAGGAAGACACCCGAGACCACGCGCCCCCCCCCGCCTCCTCCGTGGCGAGAGACCCCAGGGCACGGCTTCTGCAGGGGGGGGCACAGGATGAGGATGGTCCGGAGGAAAGCAGAGCGCAAAAAAATAATATATTACATCATCTTCTTAAATATAGATAAACTCTGAATTAATACTCGAGGAGGCCCCTCTCTGACCCGTGACCACCTCTCCCCCTCCCTCACCCCTCCCGCAATAACGACAAATAAAGCGACTCTGCCTTTCCCAAAGGGGTGGGGGAATTGGAAACTCAAGGAATGTGCAAACAGGCGGGGAGGGGGACAGTCAGGCTCGATGCCCCCCAAACCTCCCACCACCCAGCCCAACCCCTCTATCGGTGATCCCCCACCCCGTCCGCCCCCATCGACTGGGATATTCTAGTGCAATAAAGTGGTAGAGAATAAGGGCGTGGGGGCATTTAAAGCTCGGAAGAAGGAAGGGTGTAAAGGGGGGGAGGGATGCATTTGTGTGCAACCCTAACCCGCCCCCCCCCATACAAAGTGTAATTTTTTTTTTTACTGTGGAGGCATAAATCTATGATTTCGGAAGAGACGGACCCCCGTTCCCCCCCCCACACACACACAAGTGCTAAACGTCTGTCTCTCTCTACCCGTGGGTGCCGCAAGGACATCGGGATGGAAGCCCTCCTGTGGCGAGTGATCCCCACCCCCATAGGGTGAACGGAGGATGGTGGGGGGGGGCGGCGACGGCTCCGGCCCAGTGCAGTGTGCAAGAGAGCCACCAGGGGGCGGCACGGGCCTGGCCCGACACACCATCCGCCTCGGCAGTGCCAAGGAACAAGGTGCAGCAGCGGCCGGGCACGGCCTGTTCCTCCGGTCGGTCGGGACAGGGACTGCCCTGGGTGGGGAGAACGCCCCCGCCCCCGCGCCAGGCAAAGTCTCCGAGCCTGGCACGGGCCCCGAAAAACAGCCGCCGTGTCCAAAAGGGGGAAGGAAAATAAAAGGCCGCTTAACTGAAGCCTCGTTCTCTTTTTTTTTCACACACCAACGCTTTCCCCTTTTCTGCTTCACAAACGTCCAACGGGAGGAGGGCGACGCGACCCGGAAGTGGGCACGGAACCCAGGAGTCCTGGCTCTCTCCCAAGCCTTTTTCGACGCCACCTCTTTTTCCCCCCACAGAGTCTGGTGGTGTCTCTTCTCCCCCGCCCCTGCCCCATCCCGGCCTTCCAAAATGGAGGACGGAACCTAAAAAAGAACAGGGGCCTGAGGCCTACGTGGTGCCAGCCACTCCAAATTTTAGTCCTCCTCTCTTTTTCCCCCAGGAAGTCGGGACCCCCTATTCTACCCCTACATAACTGCTTGTTTCGCAAACCTGAGCGCACACAGTCTCCTTAGGTTGTTCCCGCCCCACCCCTGTCCCACATTGGGGACCACTTTGGTTCAGAACGGCCTCTTCCCCCCCCCCCCCCCGAGGCGCTTCGCTGAAGGTGGGGCGCGCACCGGGCG